TAACATTTGTATGCTATTAGTTTTAATATATTTGGATTTATCCCATAATTAACACGGACTCATTTTACATGGTTTTCTCAAGACGACCATGTAAATAGAGTGCTAAACAGAAGCAAAAAATTGCTGGAATGATTTACAGAAATAAAAGTATAAAAATGTCATATAATTATTTGTCACATACATTAGACAACAGAGTCCAATTTAACAAAGTGCAGTAAGTATACTACTTCTTGAAATAAAAAATATATTTGATTAAATATATAATTTGATAAAAAATATTTTCCTGTCAGTAAGTAAAAATACTTTTTGCGCCATTAATGGATTAAGATGGAATGTAGAAAGATGTGAAACCCAAGTTTTGAACTGACGTGTGTTAATGAAAGAATACTTACTCGATATAAATTCACAGCAATTGAAATCACTAATATAGGACTCGCTATTAGATAATGTATCGTCACCTTACTCGTGAAGTTATTAATTAATCTTCACATTAGCGAGGAAATTGCCCATAATACAAAATATAAAACAGAATACTATTAATATACGATAGTAAATGATTTTTATATTCAAATTTACCAACAGGATCGCTCTGTTGTGAATATCAACGGCTTGATGAAAATTCAAGAAATTCAATTCAACTTGCTGCGATAGTGAACTTGCTTTAGATAAATTCGTAATGGCCTTTCGTAATCGGTAGCTAAAATCATATGAAAGTTGTAGATTAACATAAATTGCGAAAGAAATTATTTATTTATTTATTCAAATCAATTGTATTTTATCGATAGTTTGTTGTGATGTACGTTTCATGGTATTGAAATATATATAATAGAATCGAATAGATTTAAAGAAAAACTATTGTATTATTGTATAATGTAGATTTGAGAGCTACGTCTGAATAAATCAAATAATTGGACTGATTACTTCTTACATATTTTTTCAATTATATTATTCTACTGTTTCAGCATATTGCTTCATCTATATTCACAATCGGATTGGAATTGGACGAAGATTAATTCCCTTGAAATATGTAAAATCCTGTATACATTTCGAATTG